CCTTGCCCAGATTTCCGAGCAGGTCATGGTTAGAGTAAAGTTTAGGGTAGGTGTTGGGACAAAGGTTAGGTTTATGGTTAGAACATGGGAATATTTGCCCTTCATGAAGGATTGTGCAAGGTCATCATATTCCCATGTCCTACCACGAACATTAAAAACATGCAAATATACTTAATATGGTAAAAGAAAAGTAAGTCATAGTAAGGGAAAGATGAAGCCCTCGTCAATTAGGACTTCGGATGAGAAGAATTCAACAAAGTGCAATCAGAGTGAGTCGAAAAAGATACTTGTGTAATAAACCCTAACGTACTTTGTTTGGCGAAATGAACTGTTTCTCAGCACTTTAAGTATATCGCTGTTAACTAAGTGTAATATAGTGACGATGTCGGTAAAAACGAACACTCATAAGCGCCGCTTGCCCTGTCTTGCAGAGAAAGCATTTCCGAAATGTTTTTACTAATCAGATGCCACCACTTTTCATAAGGCCATGTTTGCTAAGTTACTAAAATGCATAGACACGTGAGTTAGACATACGATTACGGAATACCTCATTTCACTACAAATATTTTCCTCCTTCAAAATCACGAAAGTAACTGTGACAAAGAGTCGAAAATTCTGGAAGAGCATCCCTTAGAATTACCGTAGAGTCCAGAGTGACTAAAGCATACTGAAAATAAACTAATGACGCGAATGCAATTTCACGTTCGAAGTAAAGAATTCGTTTTATTCTGTTGAATTCAGTGCAAAATTCTAGGTTACGGTCCCACAGTATCATAAAAACCTAAATATCCTGGACATGGCGCAGTACGATATTGATGTGTCCAACCACCTTTTAACCGGGTGGTGCGTAATATGCAGTCTGATTCAAACCCTGTTTTGGCATAAATGATATAAAGTTATTGGCATTTTCGAGCTAAAAGAATCAAATGTTGAAATATGACGTGAAATGCAAAACTTATGCAGTAAGAAGTATCTATAAAGCCTTTAACCTAACTTATAAATATGAGAGCCGGCTTCAGCACCTTCGTATAAAGCAAGGCTCTGACCAAGTGACTGTAGCCTAGCCATGCCACGGATAGTAGGATTTTAAATTGAGTTGAGCCATTTCTTAAAAAGAGCATATAAAAGTTCTTCAAGAAAGCCGGGGTCAGAAAAACGCAACAGCGTTGCTTTAATAAGTATTCTTTATCGTTCGGAAGTCTTGTCTATGCAAACGATCTCGATATGATTTTGGAGACTATTTCGTCAGAGATCTCTCATGCGTAGCTTTGAGTTTCCCGAATATCACAGTTAAGTGAGATATTTTTAGAATGCTGTAAGTGTTTACTTATTCATAAGAAAGCTCTAGATCAACTGGTTATTTTGGTCATCTGCAAATAGCGACCCTTTGAATGAAAACAGCACTCTGTGATAAAAACCGTATATTCAAAATATTTAGACAAAATACCCCAATCTTATATGGACCCTTGACAATAGTGTCGAAACCTGTCTGCTATTTCCTTGAGAAGAAAACGGTCGCCGACGAGTCAAGTGAACGTGTTTTAAAGGCGCTGCCGGTTTTTAATGCCAACTGATCGAAGACAGCGACCAGGGTTTAGCAATCAACGAACCATCTCTTTTAAAAAAATTCTGTATAGAAATCAACATAATCGATATGTGTGTAATAGAAAAGTGGGTGATTTCTGTAGTTTCGACTTTTAACTTCTGCCACCACAACCACGCACGAAAAGTCGGGAAATCACAACCACATAAAAGTTGAATTTCTACTTCCGTTTTTCTCCATGATTTGCGTTGGCTTCCCTGGTCGGCATTTAAAAAATCCATATTTCAAAAAATGACTAAACCTTGTTTTATCGTGAAAGGCTTGCTTCTGACATTTATGACGCTATCACAGTTTGTTACAAATTGCCAGCGAAGACTGTATAAATAGGCAGGGATTTAGGAAAACTTTCTCGTTTTCTCAGGCAAAGAAAGTCTGTGCAAATTTATCTATGACTGAATGTGTCCGCGTTTGTATCAAAGTACGCCGTCAAAAACTGCCTTATTAATGCTCTAAGACAGTTGTTTTGTTTGCACTCCGCAGCATAGTCCGCGCATACCGTGCTGAAATATGACGTTCATCCGCTTTCTAGACCAACAAAATTGATCAAACTACTGATTTGACATGAATTCTATCAAGATCACACTCACATTTTCGTTGTCTCATTCATCGAGGTAATTTGATTATCCCCAACGCATCATATACAGTCAGTGAAGTTATATGGAAGTATTTCATTTACGCAGCTGATATACTATCATATATTTTACAAGTGCGGCATTGAGTTTTTATCTGTTTCAGCGCCCAAAATTAGCAGCACAGCTATTGTAAAGCTTTCAGATGTAGGAGAGATAGTAACTGCATTACGTGGGTTAAAAGGCAAGTGCCTGCCCAGAAGAAAGCTGGTTGAAATTCTCTTCCTCATTCTACAACCCAGGAATGTCACTTTACTCCTGTCATTCATCAAAAAACGTAAAATATTTTTGACCAAAGCCTGCTTTATCTCTAGATAAGGCCAAAAAACATGATGCAAGATATGAACTATTAACGACTATCTTGGTAGAATGGACACACAATATTTTTACCAAAGAAGTAAACTCACTGCTGCAACTATTATCGAATAGAAAATCATCTATGCCATAATTGTGGAAAAGACACCTTTGGTCACACAAAATTAGTCGAAATATTTGAGGGCGGATTTGGCCACCAATCAGTCAGGTAATATAATAACTCTTCACGCAGGGCAAATTATCTCGCATTAGTTATGGTCGTTTCTATATTATGAAACTGTCAGGTTCATAGTTTTACACTCTTTAATAAAGACTCGTAAGGGTGGGAGCAAAAAGTATTTACCTTTGTCAGATTCTAACAAGTAATCGGTTAATCTGAATTATCTTCTGATTTTCCATGTTTAAGGCTGTTCAGCGTTCCAGCAGAATCATAAAAAACACGTTTTTCAAATGCAATCCCGTAGAAGTGTCTTGGGCTTATGTCACCTCAAGACTGTCTCTTGAGGGACGGAGTACCGAATCTTCCCGTATGCATTGAATGGTAAGAAGCGCCCTTCATATACATTTGTGTCGTGTCTGTTATTTACCATCTCAATTCCCTTTTACACCGATAGCCACATATAAGACCAATTTTGCTAGGAGCCAAAATTAATCCAGTTTCCCTTTAGGGGTATGCCGCAGTAAGTTTGAAAACGACCTGCTTGAACTTCTCAAATTTGTCCATGGTTGCATTTTGTGGCACTTTCTATAAACATCCACGCTATGGTCGAGGCATCAAAACTTCGTGTGAATAAAAACATTATGAAATTCCTGATGTCAATTATTTAAATAAAACACGCACATGCCTCTTCAGTAGAACGTGTTTACGTCTTGAATTCACCGTCTGATTGAGGTTGTGAGATCGCTTCAAATTATTCTCATTTATCCTTTGCAGAACTGAGTTTAAAGAGGGCAAAAACATTTGATGTGCAGTCGAAGTCGCCTGGTTTCAGAGGTCACGGTACCTAGACAACTATACTATTAGGCTTCTGTCAGAACTGCGTAGTGCAAAGGTTAAGAATGTATGCCGGTAATTATTTTTGGGTATTACATTCTCATGGAAAAACGAGCTCTGAGATCTGCGTAGCACGTGAGCTTCCGTACAATCAGGATAAATCAACCGGGAAAATGCATTTGGAACAGACCGTCGACTACTGAAAGAAATGAGACCAAAGATACTCCGGGCTTATTGCTGCCCTCCTCAGGCGGCATTTCAACCGTCGTTGACAACCGTGTGCTCCACAAGAAGGTGAGAGCAGGCACGGCGACTTGTGCATTAATTAGTTTATGGTGGTAGAAGACTTGCACGGCACCTAACGCACCTCCCTCCACTTGAGCCCGTTGTCAAGACTTAATCAAGAAGATCGAAGGCTGGAGAGGACGCAGACGCCTGACACAACCGGATCCGCACCTAGGCGTACCACCACACCTCTGGCCCACTAAAACACTTTATTGGGGTTGTAACCAACAAGAAAAGTGGGTTAGGAAGGGGTGGATGAAACAAGTCACTGAGCAGCCATATACACGTTATGTAAACCCAGTGGGAGAGAAAATACATTCACCGGCAAGGGATCAAGTGTCAGAGAACTGCCAACAAACACTAGGCTCCGACGACCATGGTCTGCTGAAGCATGACACAGCATGCGCACACAATCCTTAAAGCCCACAAGGGTAAAACACAGATAGAAATACCTTTATAGAAAAAACTATGCTCAGGACAATCGGTTCGCGGTCCGAAAAATGTTTTACAACTGACAAACCTTAACACATGAGGAAATAGTTAATGTGTTATGAGAAGCCAATCAGTTTTGTGTTCAGTTAATCCTGGTGCGTGTGCGTAAAGGCGTGACGTGCCCCCAAAATACTGACTGATTGAATAAATGCAGACTTTGCGTAACCTCCCATTAACTTCACTTGTGACTCATACATGTAGAAAGCATCTTATCAGGCAGCAGGTGTTAATATTGGCATGGCTGCGTGAAGGAAACCAACTTTGACTCGTAATCGTTGATCTTTTTTCCCCTGTTCCTGCGGCTACAAATTCACCAACAAACCAACCTGAAAATCAGTAATTGACATCGTTTTGTTGCATTCTTGGACATTAAGCCGTACTTGTTGCTGATTTCACAAAATGTGTTTGTCTTAAAAAATCCTACTTACGCATGCCAACTTATTGCAGGAAACCCAGCATTGAGTTCATTAATAGCCATTACTGAAATATATCGCTTTATGTTGCTATATTCAAAACTATGAGGTTGTATGCTCTTTCCTTGGAGGTAGATCACTTACAGTCAACTTGTAAAATGGAAATTCAAACTGCGGCGCATTGTCGTTTTCGTCGAGTATGACAACTTGTATGAGTTGGCTGGATGTGAGTCGCGGTTTTCCCTTATCCTGGCAGACTATCCACAAAGGCACAGTGGGTGTCTTCTCTCTGTCAAATGTTCCCACGGCGAAGAGGTTGTAGATATTAACCTGTGGAACCTTGCCTTTCAACTTGAGTTGAAACATTCCTGAATTTGCGACAGCAGATTCCTCTTCAGAAGAATCTGATGATGAGACAATTCCACTGGGTGAGCGAAGTATGCAAGTAAATTCGCCCCCCACGCCTGTATCACGATCTTGCACTGTGATGGTCAGCAAGTGCTTCAGAGTCATATTTACATTTTCGGGAATTGACAGCACGGAGCGGGACTCTTCTTCTAGCAGAGGAACCTCAGTGTCGTTGGACCGTTCGTATACGGACGGCGACTGAACACGGATGCTGGGCGCATGGTTGTTGGTATCTTCCAGTTCAATGGTAACCTCGGCCACGGCAGACCTGGTTGGCCGTCCACCGTCACTGGCTACAATTTGAAAAGTCCACGCTTTTGGCCCATCGTCGTAACTCAGTGGCCGCATGACACGCAATTTTCCCGAAAGACTTTCAAGAGCAAAAGTCTTTTGAATCTCACTGGGTGTTGACCTGGCAAAGGAATAGTGAACTCTCCCATTAATGCCCTCGTCCTTGTCAGTGGCGGAGAAATGCTCCACTGTAGTGCCGTCGCCGACTTTTGAGGCGAACGTCCCATCGTCGTCCGACTGACGACCGTCCTGATAGGTGAATTTGTCAGCCGTGTGTAAAGCAACAATACTTCCAACTGGTGCAGTTTCCGGTAAGTAAGCTTTATACTTTTCGTGCTGAAAACTAGGTGAGTGATCGTTTTCGTCGCCCACTTTGATGGAAATCAAAAGACTACCGGTATGGTAGGGGGGACTACCGTCGATCGCAAAAAGTGTGAGGTTGTGCCAGGGTTTGTTCTCTCGATCGAGCGATCGCAGCACAACCAAACACGGCATACCCACATCCTGATTTTTCCCATCGTGAGACTCAGTTGAGGAAGTGTCCTTCAGCCTTGTCCGTATTTTCCGTTTTGGTTTAGACAAGATAGGGGTCATCTTCAGAGCAAAATAATAGCTGTCTTCAGCTGTTGTCTCCAGCTTGTACTTTTTAATTCCATTCCTACCATAGTCAGGATCGCGTGCCGGTGACAATTCCAACGTAACTTCAGAAACAGTGTTCTCTTGCACCGTCAGTACGATAAGATCTAATGGCCAGAATGGGACATTATCGTTGACGTCGTCGACTATTATCCTCAAAGGCAGATATTGACCACTGTTATCAACCAGTAAGCTGCTCCAGATGCATAACTCTGGATAGCCTGGTTCTTGGCAGAGAGATGGATTATCATCCCGATCAAGTGGGCCAGCCACAATTACGTATCCATTCGTATCTAGTTTGAAGTATGCGTTCTTTTGTAAGTAAAACTTTGCATTTTGTCCACGATAGTCAAGGCCACTAAAAACGCTCCCGATCATCGTTCCCTGCGGCGTATTTTCTTTCACGCTAAGCTCAACTTGTGGCAACGCCTCGTTTGGGTTACTTTCTGATGTCACTCCCTTTGTCACGTAAAATAAACAGTATATAGAGAAAACCAGAAAAATCCAGTGGTCGAACCCATTTGACATAAGAAGGGTTTTGCCCAGCATAGGCGGTTCGGCAGACATTTCATAGCCATCAATGCTGTCTTGCAGTGGCCGAAAACCTCAATTGTTTTCCGAATGTGCAAATCAGCAAACCCGTTTGTTAAGAGAGGTAAGCATGTCCATAAGAAGCGCTGATTTTGTAGAGTATAGTCATCGCTTTTTACTGTTGACCGTATAAAAGCATAAAGCGGACTTTTCTTTACTTCAATTGGTCGAAAGTTAAACCAATAAACACGTCGGTCAAGCGTTCTAGGCGCCGATTGGACGAGAGAAAGAGGTTGGGCTTCGGCCACAGATGCGCGCTCACTGCACGCTTTTGCGTTATCACGGACCGGGGAGGACAAAGGCATAGACTGTTGGTTTTGAGACGAACAGATTGACTAAGAAGACTAGACTCCACCAATAATACTTGGGCCGCCTTTAGACATGAATCAAAACCACCCGTAAGCTTGCAATTTCACAAAATCCGTTTGGGCCGTCAATAGATAACCTCCGAAAAATGCATGCATAAAGTAAAATAAACAATGATAAGACCAGGTGAAACATGTTGCAGCGTTGGTGACACATACGTATACATTTGAGACCTAACTTGTGTCACTTTCGAAGAACTGACTTGCACTGTTATGTGGTACTTTCTAAAAAGGCTAGGACATACAGCCTGGTCGTTGTGCGGTTAGTTTTGATAACAATCATCCTCACAAGACGGCGCTTGCACTTTTTATTTTAAAATTATTACATATCTAACAGCTCGGCTGAGGTTTTTAAAATGTTGCAGACCCCAATGTTCATTTTGTACATAAACTGTTACATGCTTGTAAGTGCTGCATATCGGAGTGCACGGTCTTTGATCTGACACTGGGAAAGACGCATTTTAACTTTCCGAAAATTTTATTAGTCTGAATCTGAAAATGGCCGATGGAAAACGTAAATTTTTTAACGTGAGAGCATATTTTGCAATGAGAACAATGCCTAGCAACATTTTACCTGTGTTTAATAATATTCCGAATCGTCTGTCTTGTTTGCTTCTGTCACCCTAACACACACTCAATTTCGATAAGTTTATGGGGAGGCAATCACCAACGGACTAGGTAAATGGACTTCCTTCATATCCATGACAAAGTGTTTGACTAGACGTGTCGAGTGCTCGTAGTGATTGGGCTGAAGTGAGCGGTATCAGCCTTCCCTCCAATTTCCACACCTACCGTGTTCAGCTAGCAAGACGAGGATGAGCTGGCCTGAGATGAATACGGGAGGTTACTGGACTGTCCAAACGTGTCACAGATGACCCGATACTTGACTCCGCATAAATGAAATTGCGAAAAATAAGATGCTTGTCAGAACTGCTGTAGAGGAAACACTTTATAGGCCGATTTCAGAAGGGCTTATTTTACCCCAACGTAGGCTAGCGAAATACCGTTATCTCACCGGCTTACAATGTTCCGAGCCATGACAAGTAGGACATTGTGATACTTCAAAGTATGTGGTTGCTTATGCCGAGAGATGGGTCAACCTTACACTTTCTTTGCCAATGACGAATCCGTATCCATGCGTGTAAAAATTAGATTGCACGTAATCGCAAAAATGGGGTGGAAACCTCCGTCCACCCGCCCAGTTTACCTGATAGCCCCTCAGGCTTTGCGCAAAATTCATATCATGCACAACTGTGGGATGCGCACCCGTTCATAAGATGCTTCTCATGTTACTATGACGATGGAAAATTTTATCACACGACTGCTGTGTAGGTGATCGTGAATGTTCCTCTGATCTGCTATCTGTTTGCACATATGGCAGAAATGGTTCATACATTTTCGGTGCGTGAATAGTTTGGGGGTGCAAAGGTGACCCCAACTTTCGCACTTTGGTGATCACCGCAGCTTTATTCGCATTAAGCCAAATAAGTTAGTGTGATGTCAGAAAGCGCTGGGACAGGGTGGAACGATATTTGGGACATTAATTGTGCCGGACGCTCCTCCTGCTTCCGTTTCGTCATTTGCACTGTAACAGATTTACGGCCAGGTCGACACGTTAACTAAGTGTTTGATTGCAACGAACGTATGTTGGCCGTGTGCCGACATTGTTATTTATTGTCTTATGTGCCCTCAGGAAGATCCTATTGTAGTGGTACGTAAGTGTCCAGTCAGAACGAACTGATACTAGGATGTGCTGTTACAGTGGCGGCTGCAGGAAGTTTTCTCGTCGGTCATGCTTGAGGTGTAATCGGCTGGAAGTCCCAGGCTGACACTGCGACGGATCCGATGGTGACTGGTGCAGACACGTTCGTAAGTTATGTGCATTGACGGGTTCGATTTACGTCAATCCACTCTTTTACCTTTGCTGCATCGCCTTGACCCCCATACTTGGCTAGACTTAAACATTTTAATTTCAGATGTTTGTTGGTACTCCAAGCCTGTCGATCCTCGACAGAGTCTCCGCAGGTTTCCTGGATGATGTCCAGATGCCTGCGCGAGGTTTACAGGTACCTTCACTCCGGCGCCTTTGCTCATCTTGTCTAATATTATTCAAAGAGATGCCGTCAAACAAGAATAACTTAGGCAGGCGTCCGCCAATCACACTCATGAAGTAGTCACCATATCAAAGGTAAATCTGTTCTCGCTTGCCATAGACCTCGAGAACAACAACCTTTTCCAGGATCCTAATGGCCAGAATACACTTTTGCTACTTCACTTTTGGGATCCCCCGAAAGTGAATGTGTCCCAGACTTTTTGACTGCACACCGTGTACGTCTCTGCTCCATAGACTTGTTTGCTCAAGCTTACAGCCCTATATATCCAAAGTTTCTTGTCGAGAAGGAAACCAAGTTGATTCCAAAATGAGTATAGGCTTGGCTGCCCTTAGCGCTTTGAGCTGCAATTACCTCGTTGCTTCTTATGTTTCTTCAGGTTTTGCCTCAAAGGTATACGAGGTTGCTCGCGACTTTCAGGTAAATTCCAGTGGCATACATATATCGTAAACTCGTCCTACGCCGTTATTGACATCATTTTGCAACTGACCACTGTCTCCTCAGTGCTAGCTTCCGACTCGCAGTTTGAGTCATCAACTCTAAAGAATGCCACACTCTACGGTACGTTGTTTCAGTCTTTGTGCTCTGAGCGCGGTTATTAACGAATAAAGCACCTTAAATCCTAGTTCTAAGCACTTTTTGGCTTACATACGTCAAGTGTTTATTAAGCGCAAGGCGAAATTTCTGAATTCTCGTACGGAACAAAATTGACCGCGTACGAGCATAAAAACTGTACATTCCTATTGGTTCGGTAAGTCGTAGTAAGACCAGGTGGCTCATAACAATGACGGGGTACATGAAGCCCAAGGAATTTCGATCGAGTGCGCGGCCATGCTCTTTACTATTGACCACTTCTCTCAATTCGAAGAGCGGCCAGCTATCTGCAGAAGACCATAATGCTTTCATGCGGTTGTTTCGCTATCTCGCAAATCATCGCAGACATCTGAAGTTCGTTATTTTTTTCAGACGTCCATCATTTTTCATGATTTTGGCAGATTTTTACTAGATTGGCATAAGTGGTTTAAAGCTGGCCTTCACTTCCTGACACTGCAACGTGGTTCCGGAGTCATAAAGAGAAAAGAAAATCTTGCTCTAAGTATTCAATAATACGATGGGAAAGAATTTGTGAAATGACATCCGCAATTCTGATGAGAGTGATTTCTTGAGGAAGGCCACAATTCTAACGGTTTCTTGTTTGCTGTGAAGGTGAATGTCTTGTCAACACATATTCCGAAAGAGTAGGTCCAATTGCCGAATGATTTACTATGCTGATTGCAGCATGGAAACTGGATTTCATATACCAGGAAGCAAATTTTGAACCCTGGGAGACCACTAGTGAGCCAGATCCCCAAGTGAGTCACAAGGTCGGTGAAACACGCGTGTCTGGGCTCTTAGCATTTCCTGTTCTGTCAATTGGGAGCTTGTGGATATTGCGCGGTTATTCCGCTGTACCTGATGACTTTTAACTCAGAGATTCTTAACAACTTTCGGAGTGAACTTAGACGACACGGTTCGCGCATTATTTTCTTCGGAAAGTAAGAAGGTCGGTGCAAGGTCATTTTGTTGTAAATTTGATAACCACCATGTTTGTAAATGCCTGTCGAAATAAGAGGGTTTCTGGACGTCGTAGGAGCAAACGTTTTCATAAGGTCACTCGCTGCCAGGCCGATCGGTAACTAATAAATTCAAATAGAATTGACAGACGTGATCATAAACATACCATTTTGTGAGATGGAGCCGACAAAGACAAGGGAGACCGGAATGGCCATTTCTGGCTTATTAGCCGTCATCAGTCAGCCATACCCGACCCCAAGTGTGGATCACTTGAGATTCGAACCCGGGATCTTTGGTCATGGAGTTTGACACTCTACCATTGAGCCACGGGCCCGTTGGCCTGTCGGTTGTGATCGGGAATATCAATTATGACGGTGGGCGCTCACCGATCAGGTTATGGAACGAGAACGTTTATTTAGACATTCCACAGATTTCCTCATAAGTGAGCTAAAAAAACAGATTCCCTCAGGGTACGCGACTAAGTTGCATAAAACGCGACACGTTAAAATGACTTTCTATGCGACTTATTCGGTATGTATATATGTATATGAGGATATTTTTCGTGAACATAGAATACGAATGAAGATCTTTATCAAGCTGTTTCATGAGAAGGATACGGTGTAAATTTGGGGAAAAAAGCGGGTATATACGACTTATTTATCTTTATGGCGCATGGCAAGCGCCTGAATAGACTTCGTAAAAAACTATGATTGCCGCCGTGGTCTTTCCACGTTGAAGCCATGCCATAAGTACGCCA